CACCCGTTGTGTATGAAGAGGTAGCCATTCAAGCCTTGGCTGGGAGCACACTGGTTCCTGGGCCACATGAGTGGAGCTTCCTGTAGGCACACTACAAAGAGCTGAGGCGTTTGGTACAGGGTGATCCGATGCACCAGAGGGGCTCCAGTTGGGCGATTGGAGTCTCTGTCCAGCAACTTCCAGGAGGGCCTGCATCTCAGAGGCTGCACTAAAAAACAGGGTTGGAGGATCCACAGTGACATGCTGTCCCCCTTTCCCATAGTGATGCTGCTGCCCCTTTTGCACCTTGCCCCGGGTGCTGGCAACCCACGCTGTGCCACTGAACCTAACTAGTTTCCTACGTTCCATTTTGGTTTTGCCCTCCAATAGTTCAAGAAGTCAAAGTGCAAGGTAGGTTCATCCACTCTGGAGTTTGAGCTTTGCCTGTTAAGAGTGAAAAATGCTGGCTTAATCTCTCCCATTCTTGATTCATTGTAAATAAATGCATATTGTTGTCATCTATATGCAGGCTCGCCTAAGTAGAGTGGAAGTAATTTCTCCTGCTGCAAGAAGAGTGCTATATATCAACAGATGCTCCTTTTTTCTGTTCCTTTCTTTTGCTAAGATTTCCCCAACCCGGGCCCCTCCCTTGTTTAGGAGGCACAAATGAACCTTTTTCTAGGATATGAAAATCTCGCCTAGTCAAACAGAGGAAAAATGAGTTTCTAGATGAGGAGTGCAGTGTTTCTGATGAGACCCAATTACCCCATTCAGTTCCATCAGAGTCTGAACAAAATTGCCTCGGGTTAATCTGACGCACATTTTTATTGAAACTCTGTGATCTGGAAAGTAAAACGTTTATATTTACATATTTGAGAAGTCGAGGGATATTGACTTGCTTTGATGCCAAGTGTAATGGGAAGAGGGGTAGATCCTGCCCATTTGAGAACTGAACTAGATATTATGTGTGAGATACAGGGAGTGTCTCCCCACCAGATTTTGTGGGGGGGGGGGATGGAGTCCTGGTGGGCTCTGAATTCAAGGAAAGCAGCAGCAGCAGCTGGGGAGATGAGGTGCTAAAGATTTTCCCTGTGGGCTATTTCTCCAATCAAAATTGACCTCAGGTGCTTTTCTCTCTGAAGGAAAGAAAGGCATCTGTATTATTATATTAATTTATATACTACTTAATGCCAAATTAGGCTTATAAGTATAAAAAACAATGGTGCAAACATTAAAATATCCATAATTAAAATACACAAGGGTTTGTTTTCAATTTTGTTCCCCCACCCTCCCCTTAAACACTTCCCAAAACTGTTGTAGGGGTTTCCCCAGCCCTGTAGATCAGATTTGGGGAAGGCATGTGGGGCACACAAGAGGAGGAGGAGAGAGGGGCAAATCCTTGCACAGATGGGACATGTTGGTTGGATATCACCCATAATGCTAAAAATAAATGCCAGCAGCTCACTAAAACACTTGTTCAAATATTGCTGTGAGGATTGAACACCCCATTATCAAGCTCCCCAAGTCTTGGTAAATAAAAATGTCTTCAATGGATTGATGCCTGAAGATCAAGTATGAGGGTGACACACATACCTCTCAGGGGAGATCATTCCAGAGTCAGACCTTGCCATGGAGAAGGTACCATCCAGACTAATACACTGATTTAAAAGTAATTGTCCTCCTGATCTCACATTCTCCAGATTCTGTGATACAGTTCTTGGCTCACAATATATACCAAAATGCATGGGAGGGAAAGAATAGTTTAAGATAAAATACATTTAGAAGATCAAACCTATCCAGTCTTTAGGAAATCAGCCCTGAGTGCTCACTGGAAGGACAGATTGTGAAGCTGAGGCTCCAATACTTTGGCCACCTCATGAGAAGAGAAGATTCCCTGGAAAAGACCCTGATGTTGGGAAAGATTGAGGGCACAAGGAGAAGGGAACGACAGAGGACGAGATAGTTGGATAGTGTTCTCAAAGCTACTAACATGAGTTTGACCAAACTGCGGGAGGCAGTGGAAGACAGGAGTGCCTGACGTGCTCTGGTCCATGGGGTCACAAAGACTAAATGACTAAACAACAACAATCCATCTAACTACTCCTACCCTAAATGGTCAGTGACTGGGCCATCTGAAGGGTTGCTTACACCCATATGAACCTGCTTGGCATCTGAGCACCCTCTTCTCTAGTCCAACAATGAGGTCCCCCAGGTTTTTTTTCCCTTTCTGAAAATTTGAAGAAGCTACGAACATGAGTTTGACCAAACTGCGGGAGGCAGTGGAAGACAGGAGTGCCTGGTGTGCTCTGGTCCATGGGGTCACGAAGAGTCAGACACAACTAAGTGACTAAACAACAACATTTAGAAATGTGTATTTTGAGATGAAGTACATATTTAAATATGTATTGATGATAACATGTGCCATAAAATATGAATTTAAATACAAATTTCTGTATGGCCTTTTTTAAAAAAAAATAAAAATCACAGATTAATGTGGAACTGAAACAGAACAGACTTCTGAACAAACACCTGCAAAATAGGCCACAGATAGGTTCATAAGAACAAAGGCAGCTGCTTCAAACTGAGTAACTCCCTCAGTATTGCCTCCATGGCTCTCCAGAATTTCAGAAGCAGTCTTCCCCCATCTTTAGCTGGTGATGCTGGGGATTGAACCTGGGACCACCTGCACAGAAAGCATGTCCTCTACCCTTCCCTGATACTGGATCTTCAGATGATGAGATTGATTGATTGATTGATCCATCCATTCCTTCCCATCTATCACATGTCCCCAAAATGCTGCCATTGGGATGGTACCGTATCATGACGGAGCTTGGTGGTAGAGGTACTGTGTGGAAAAGTATGATCAGCCTCCGCTGGCCACAACACAAGACTGTGCTACTGGTGTCATGTGTGCTCCTCAACTTCTTCAGAGGCTGACCAGCTCATCCTCCACCTGCTGAAGCATCTGTAGCAGAAAAGCACCTGTTGAAACATTTCTCAGTGAAGTCAGTGTCCTTGTTTGAAGATTCTATCCTCATTATTCTGCTCACATTTTTCTTTTACATTAATTTCTTCATTAACAGGGGTGAATTGAGCCAACGTCGTCATAAGTTAATAACTTTCGTTAGCTTCTTCCACGCACCAAGTACACGAGAATCCTTTTGACTGAAGCTGACAGAGGTCCCCTTGTCTTCAATACGGCTAAATTGACTTAGAGCCACGTACACCGGCTTAGCTAGCTCATGGACTGGGATGACTCCAGCAGTTATAACCGGCAGAGCAGGGCATGTAAATAGCAGCATTTCCCCTGAAATGTACATATATAAAATTGATGAAAGATAATTTGGTGCTAATTTTTCATGCTCCAGTTGCCCTGCTCCTCCCCTCCAAAAATATGCCAGCTAAATGTTTAAGTCATTATTTTCTGTGCACATTAATAATGAAGACTTTTGCGGCATAGAGGGATATATGGCCAATTGAATGCTTGATGTTCTGTCCTTGAGCAACATTCAGATCCATAGCCATTTATCAGTCACGCAACAACCAAACAATTCCAGCACATCAGTCGTGTCCAAATCGGCAAGAGACTCATTTCTCTAGCAAGGAGAGATGCTTCAGGGAGCAAAGAAGTCCTGGTTATTATACCCCTCGATATTCCCACAAAAACGACCTTGAGAAGGATATAGATGGAGAGAACATGCAATCAATGTGTGCTAAATAGCAGAGACAGAGTTTTAAAATAAATATTTACAGGCTGCCTGATGTATAATACTAGTTCTGAAGTTGTAGCCCACCCTGATGGGCGTAAAAAATATATGAGGAAGAGATGTAGCTCAGTGGTGAAGCATCTAGAGTGGTACCTTGGTTCTCAAACTTAATCCGTTCCGGAAGTCCGTTCCAAAACCCAAGTGTTCCAAAACCAAGGTGTGCTTTCCCATAGAAAGTAATGCAAAATGGATTAATCCTTTCCAGACGTTTAAAATCAACCACTAAAACAGCAATTTAAAATGGATTTTACTATCTAACGAGACCATTGATCCATAAAATGAAAGCAATAAACCATGTACTGCAGCCACACAATCAATCAATCAGTAGCTGACCTGGAAAAACTTTCTACGGCCAACTTTGGCTCCCTCAGCCTGTAAAGCGAGATGAGCGCCACAACCCCAGAGTCATATGCGACTGGACTTAACTGTCAGGGGTCTTTTACCCTTTTAAGGCTCAAGAAGGTAGACAAGCTGCTTGGATCGGTTAGGGTGACCACTTGAACTCTGGACACTCGCCCCTCTTGGCTGATAAAAACTAACTGGCTGGGCCAGGGAGGATGCCTCCCTGCGAGAGGGAGTGATCCTGGGCCTGAGGTCTGCCCCCCCCACTGGATTAGGTAAAGGTAAAGGGACTCCTGACCATTAGGTCCAGTCATGGCTGACTCTGGGGTTGCGGCGCTCATCTCGCTTTATTGGCTGAGGGAGCCGGCGTACAGCTTCCGGGTCATGTGGCCAGCATGACTAAGCCGCTTCTGGCGAACCAGAGCAGCACACAGAAACGCCATTTACCTTCCCACTGGAGCGGTACCTATTTATCTACTTGCACTTTGACATGCTTTCGAACTGCTAGGTTGGCAGGAGCAGGGACCGAGCAATGGGAGCTCACCCTGTCACGGGGATTCAAACCACCGACCTTCTGATCGGCAAGTCCTAGGCTCTGTGGTTTAACCCACAGCGCCACCCGCATCCCCTCTCCACTGGATAAGAGCATCATAAAAAGTTGAATGGAGGTCCAGGTAGGAATCAGTGGTGGACCATGCCAAAGAACCGGGGCCCTGGCAGTGCTGAAAGATGCTAGCCCTGTCTGACTCTTGGTGGTCTTGGCTCCCCTGATAGGATTTCCATGGGGTTCCAGTCTGTTGTGGTCAGAGACATATTGCACCTCAGATACATCCTGTTCATCATGACGATCGGCACTTTTATGTTAACAAACAAATAACAGTGCCATTATTTGTATCTTGTCTGTTTTTGGCGATGTTGACATTCCGCAAAGGGACAGAAGGAAATCCAGACTCGCCCCTTGAGCATCTGGAGCCGAGAGCATTCAAGGAGGCAGAAAATTTATGGATCAAAGGTAAGAATCTGGGCTATAACCTGCATCCGTTTAAATAATGCGCAGTGCAAGAAATATTAAAGACAAAGGTCAACCAAGTAGAGCATATCGCTTAAACTGTCAGCTTGACTTTCTAAAGCAAAAACACCTTGTAGCAATTCCCCCCTCCTCCTTACAAAGTCCCTGCTGATTTATTATGAGGCCTAATGTTATTTTGTTACCTGAGAAACTCAAAGGGGATTTAATTTATGAGGCCCGAAGGAGGACAGAATCTTTTTGTGCATGGAGTAAAATATTCCCACTTGCCTGATAATATACTGAACCATGATAAATTTATTAGAGCCCCGCCATTTTCAATTCAAAATGAAAACCTCAACAAATACCATACATCACAGGTTGGTTTACCCTACAGTCATATTTCTCTGTGCTTAAATGTAATATAATGGAATAGGCACCCATTAATCCCTACTGACAATCCCAAATAGAATTTTTCAAGGACTCCGCAGCACAGATAGAGAAAGAAGAGGGATAGAACGTAACCCCCAGGTCTGCCACTTGGGTCATCATTCAAATATAATTAATTTTCACCTGTTTATACCATGGGGGGAAAGGAAGAGCCTTCATAGAAGGAGGTGTCTACTTTCTTATCAACTTATTGAAGAACAAGATTCTGTAGCACAACACTGTTTCAATGTAATGAACTTCAACCCTTTCAGCTATTTTTACTACTATCACTAGATACCAGACCATGCCATACCAGGTGACAGCGGAATGGTGAAGGAATTTGGTTCAGTTCACATTTAGAAACAAACCTACCTAATTCATATCATGAAGTAGTGATCCTGTGAGCAAGTACTGCTGGGTGGGGCCCCTCAGGCAGGTGGTAATAATTAGTCCCCAAAGTGGGAGCATGAGATGCGTCTGGCTGGTTGCCAGCATTCCCCAACCCCTATCAATCTTCGAGTTAACCTGCCAGGGAAGGGAGAGAACACACCTATTTTAGAGTTGCTGTTTGATGTTCTGTGGCTGGTGCCAGAGAAGAAGCCAATAAGGCTTGGTCACCCATTCCATGCCTGCGTGTGATTGATTAGCAGGTTGGAGGGAGGCTCTGGAAAACGACCCCCTTCTTGACATGGCGGCAGTAGTGGAATAATGGAATCATTTTGCAAAAGTGGGTACAATAATCAGTAACAGTTACAATACTGCCAGATTTTGTGGCTTGTGGAATTGGGTCAATAACATCTATTCCAATTTTAGTGAATGGTTCCCCAATGATCTCACTGGGTTGTAACGGAAAACGCTTATGATCTCCACCATGTCCCATTCATTGGCACACATCACAAGACCTAACATCTGACTTAACATCTTGAAACACATTAGGCTAATAAAATTCTCTAGCGACCTTTTCTAATGTACGCTTAAACCCCAAAAGGCAGCTTCATGAGCCAGATGTAAAACAGTCTTTCTATATGTCTGGGTCACTACCAACCGTCTTCTTGGCTCACATTCTGGGGCAGATTTCTTTGGAAAGAATTGTCTAAAAAGCAACCTTCTTCCCAGATGAGACTAACTCTTGGTTCCGTGCCAGCCCTAGGGATCCCATGCGCTTCTACATACTTCTAAAGTTGGGTCCTTAAGCAGTTCTTTCTTAAAGTCATTATCATGAAGGGGTGAAGGAGTGTATTCTCACCAGACTTTGCCAAAGAAATTTCCGCTGACTCACAAACTTCATCAAACTGATTTACATTTCCAGTGACAGGCTCCTCAACACATTGGCTAGACGATTAACCAAAAGCTAACCCTTTAGGAGACAGCTCTTTTTGCTGGCGGCAGATTCAAACAGGAGTTTTGGAGCTTCAGCACCTTGAGTATGAATGGGAAGTGGCTGTTTAGAAGGCTCCTTTCTAAAACGATATGCAAACTGAAATAGCAGCTTTGGAAAGTCATACTTCACACTACTCTGAATTTTACAGTTCAGTTCTCCAGCCAAGTAGAGTGTACAATAATGCACATACTAGGGTAAAGTGTGCATGCAAACTATGAGTGAAAACAACAGAGAAAATGCAGGAAATTGCTTTGCAAATGTTTGTATATTAAGCAAAAGTGCACACAAATGTGCATATGAGGAGAAATTTGCAATAGGATGCTGATGAATTTTCATGAGTATATTTACTTCCAAGTTCACTGCACAATATTGTAGTATTATCGTGTGTGTGTGTGTGTATATATCTTAATTAAACTTCATTAAAAAGATCTTGAAAGAAAAATACAATTGTTTCATTCCAAGACCTCACTGTATGCAAAGGATGTTTTGGATGAAAACATTTAAAGGAAGCAGAGAGGTTTTTTCAATGCAAGGATGAATTCATTTTTCTGTTGATCTGCCATTATTGAACAGAGCATCTTTGAAGCGGCAAACAAACAACTCAATTTGTAATAAAGGCAGCCTAGAGGACCATAAGCCCACTACTACTGCTAAAGCAGCTCTCTTTGCTGGAATCATAGAATTGTAGCATTGGAAAGGATGCCAAGGATCTTCTGGTCCTGCCCCTGCAATGCAGGAATACACAGCTGTCCCATACGGGGAGCGAATCTGCAACCTTGCATTATCAGCACCACACTCTAACTAACTGAGCTGCCCAATTTCAGGCTGGTTCTGGGATGGGTAAAGTTGGAACATACTGATGAACACGTGTGACAAGTCTTGGCCATCCCACTCCCTCCAGGAAGAAGCCAAATGAGTATGGTTGATACTTTATTACCAGCCTTGCTAACAAGTGAAGCTTTCCCAGACAATAGGAATCCATGGCCCTGCTAGATAACAGCAAAGGCCCATCTATGGTGAAATCCTTTTTTATTTTGAAAAGTATAAACAACAGCAAACTACAATTCAGAATCCGAATATCGAGATTACTCTGAATCTCCTGATTTCCCCCCTCTCCATTCCATGGGTCCTAATGATAATATTTACAACTGCATATCAGTATTTATAAGAAAAAATAAAATATCCTCCTAATTTATCTATACTTTTTGTTACTTTACAAAAAGTTACTTTGTTACTTTACACACTTTACAAGTGTGGTTTAAATCCTGCCAATTTTTTGACCTGCTTGGAATGGTCTCGTAAATACATTATAAACTTTTCACATTCTTTTTTGAAGTTCTTGTCTTCTTGATTTCTGAGCTTTTCAGTTAATTTTGACATTTTGGCATAGTTCATCATCTTGGTTTGCCATTATTCTCTGGTCGGGGCTGACTCTTCCTTCCATCTCTGGGCTAGTAGAATCCGTACGGCTGTTGTCGTATACATAAACAGTCTTTTCTTGTCCTTTGGAATGTTGGTACCTATAATTCCTAATAAAAAAGCTTCTGTGTTTTTTTTAAACAAAGGTTATTTTAAACACTTTTTTCACATTTCATTATATATCATTTCCCAGAAATTTTTAACTACTTTACAAGTCCACCACATATGATAAAAGGGACCTTCTTTTTCTTTACATTTCCAGCAGGTATTTGTACCCTTTCTGCACATTTTTGCTCATTTAACAGGAGTCAAATACCACCGGTATGTCATTTTCATATAGTTTTCTTCCAGTGGACAAAATGCCATGAATTTCAGATCTGTTTTCCATAGCCTCTCCCAATCCATCATTTGTATATTATGTCCCAAAGCTTTTGCCCAGTGTATCATCACTCATTTGACCTGTTCGTCTTTTGTATGGTCAGCAGAGCCACCAGCTTGCGAGGGCGATGGGAAGACCAACATCATGTGTGTGATGCAACACACGATGTGGAGTCCCAGCATCTCATATGTGACATCAGGATGTTGTGAGGAGCTGGCGGCATAACCGAACACAGGGGCCGTGCGGCTTCAGTGGTGGGGTTGCCAGCCTTTGTGTCACATTTGCAGACATCTTTGTAGTACAGAGTTGGTCTGCCGGCCTGGTACCTGAAGCCACTTGCTCTACAGCTGATGTTATATATATGATGTCAGGTGTTGGGCTAGTAGAAATCTGGCTCTGTTGAAAGTGCGTTTGCAGGCACCCCTTTGCAAAGTGCCCATGAGATAGCTGGTTGTCAGATCTTGGGAAGCCTCTTTGCGGAGCACTTTGTCAGGCACATGTGGGCAAAAAGGTCACCTGACATCACTGACCCACCAAGTTTGATAGGCAGGTGGTGCCACCCACTGGTCAGGTGATTGGCTGGTGGGTGGCCCCCACCCAACTGTCAAACATGGCCTGGAAGGGACGGGGGGAAATAACACTTTAAAAAAGAGGTCTAAGATTCCCTTGATTTCCATGGACATAATTCCTAATAGGAAGGCCTCCATTTTTGTGTGTAAATGAGAGTTTGAGTATCTTTTTAAGTTCATTATATAGACTGTCCCAAAACCCTCTAATTCTCTTACACTCCCACCACATGTGCATAAATGTAGTTACCCCATTTTTACACCTCCAGCAAACCTCTGAACTGTTCTTAAACATCTTGGCCAGTTTGGCCAGGGTTAGGTACCACCTTTATAACATCTTCATCACATTTTCTCTAAGATTGTAACATGCAGTGAATCTGATGTCCTCTTTTCACAGCCTTTCCCATTCATTCATGTATATATTGTGTCCAATATCTTGGGCCCAACGTATCATGACATCTTTCACCTCCTCCTCTTTTAGGAGGGAGATAACATTTTGACTTGCCACAGTGGTGGCTGCTGCTCATTGGAACTGGTGGGGCATGAGAAGGCACAGAGAGCAACAGCAAGTGGAACCAGAGGACAGGTAGAGTCCATCCTCCTCCCGGCCCAGTTCTGCAAAGGCAACACCAAGACTAAGGGGCAGGGGGAAGTAGATAAGCAGTGCCACTCTTTAGACCAATTGTAAATAAGAAAGCAGGCATCTACGGGGGGCAACCGAAGTTGATGGGGTCCTGCTGCATTCACTGTAATAGACCATCCTCCTGTGGCCCATAGAGCAGATCCAAATTCCCCACCCCTGCTCCTTAAGAATCCCAAGCAAATCTGGAGTTAAAGGATAGGCAAGAGGAGCAGCATTCTCCCACTCCAGCTGACTCTTTCAGCTATCGCAAAGCTTTGCCTCATCAGAAGAAATCCGCATTGTGTGTGGGAGAAAGGACTATTGGATTTGCATCCAACACCTTGGGTTATTATTGCTTTCTCTTTTCCAGCGAGGCTTCTAAAAGCATCTTTTGAGGAATTAAGAGGAAAGGAAAACCAGACGCAAGAAACCTGCCAGAGACGGAAAGAAAAGCCATCAAGTCTGCAGCTGTCAGAACCAAAGCAGTTTCCTCTTAAGGAGCCCATGGTGAGTGGCTGCCTTTTTCTCAAAGTGAAAGCTTCTCTGCTTCAAAAGTACTGTGGGAAGGTTGAGTTAAAAGCACCACCTTGACGGAAAAGAATGGGAAGGGAGGCAAGATGGTATTAGATGTTTGACAGTGCAGTTCACCAAGACGGGTGCAGCCACTAGGCTAGCCTCCTGCCAGGTGAATCACTGTTGCTTATTGGGAGGGAAGAGGTGGCAGGGAAGTCAGGGGGTGTGTAAATATGCTGGCATGAGCACTGGATTGACTCAGCTGGTGCTTTTGCACCATGCTGACTTACCTGCCTCCTCTTCATCCTTGTAAACAACAGCAAGCCACCTGTCATGAAGCTGGCAAGCCACATCTGATGACAGCATTCAATGCAAAGGTTGGGAACCTCTGGAATGGGGAATCACAGCCATTGCCCTGGCCACTTTTGCCCCTGACCCTGCCCACAACTTGAAGGTGACCCCTGAAAGGTTAGTCATGAAGAAATGAAGCCCCTGGCCTGCAAAAACATCTCCCAACGCTGATTTAATGTGTCCTGAGTTGCGGTAGTAAAGCGGCAACAAAAGCCCTTTGGGAGAAGAGACATAGCCTAGGTTCCACCACCGAGAAGACCCTGCTTTCCATGGACACCCACAGCATTTCAGGCAGCAGGAAGATGTGTGGCAGGACCCCTGGCCTGAATGCAGGAATAGGTGCAAATAAACGAATCAAGTCTGTACAACAGGATGTCACGGGACTGAGCTTGTTGCACTTCTGGATTGAGAATGCATATCCCAATTCGCCCAAACATCTCTTTCACACCTGATGCATGAGGCTGACAGAGGTAGATTTTGTATCAAAACTTTTATTTATTAAACAAAAAAATGCACCATTGGAATAACATTTCTATAAAAAAATGAATATGAGACTGTTCTACAGTACATTACAAAACCCCCCTTTTTTCCTCATGTAGTAGTATACAAGATTGTGTGTAGAAACAGTCATTTATTTCCAAACCCTAAGCAAGTTCCCTTCCTCGTAGAACAAGATTTACACTTAAATATTGCAGTCACTAATCTAATTTGGTTAACAATGCTAGAGTCCAACAATTCAAAGAAAACCTTTGTAGGCTCAAAATGCCCAATTTTTAGGCTTTTTGTTACAAGATTCTTTTTCTCCCCCTAAGCCTAGTTAAAACTGTGGTGTAAGTCACTCCTGTTTGATAAATGCCTCCAGACACAGGTTAATGACTTGTATGGATTCTCTCTTGAAGACTGGGCAGTGGCAGAACCTAATAACTGTGAATTAGCCAGAGGATGAAACCTTGTAAGCCATGCTTTAGGATACAATCCTTAAAAGGAGAAGAAGAAAGAAATCTCCTCTGCATACCCACACACCTTTTCAATAAGAACTGAGAAGGAACTATGCTTAGTATGTTACATCCTCATTTATTTTTTTTACACTGATGAAAGGTTTTTGGTTTGTTGTTGTTGTTGTTGTTTTACAGATGAGGGCTCCCATCTGTTGGGAAGTTCTCCAGCACAAGAAAGGCCCCAGTGGAAATGAGCAAAAGCTGCCACTTAGCTTCCATTTCTTTCAGGAGGAGAACTTCCCAGCAGATCACGTCCAATGTTTCTGAATATCCAGCCCCTGCAAATCACTGAATACAGTGCACACCAAATACAATGTATGTGCTTAAGGCAGACAATTGGTTGCAACGGATATAAACAGGAAACTCAAAAGCAAACTGCAGAATTCTCCGATATAGTCAAGAGTTCTGGAAAGCAAGTCAAAAACAAATCCCCAAACTGGCAGCTGTGAAACCAAATGCTGAGATCAGGAGGCTAAAATCTGCCACTGGAATCGATTTTGCACATTGAGAGAAACTATGCAGCTTTCTATTGGTCTGCATTTTAACAAAATGTGTAGAACTGCAGATTTCCTGAACCTTAGAGGACTGATATACACATTGCATTTTGCAGGTGAACACCAATCTTTTTTTCTTTTCTTCTTTAATGTAAACTTACAAATAGAATGTATGAAGGAGACAAACACATGTATCATAGAAGCATGCACTTGTAGAGAGCCAGACTGGCTGAGCCAAACGTACTCTTGGTCACCAACTCTGGCTTCCTGTCACATATGGGAAGGCTCTGAATCAGTTTGCGTTGAGAGTCTCTAGCTAGAAACTGGGAAACAAGGTGTGGTAGGGTAGGGTCATGAGACTATAAGAGAAATAGAGAGAAGGGAACTCAAGGCTATACAGCCTTTACTGTCACTGGACTGCAGTTCCCATCATCCCTGACCACTGGCCATGCTAACTGGGGCTGATGGGAGTTAGAGTCGAACAGCATCCGGATGGGCACCAAGTTGGCTATGCTTGCTATAGAGAAATAATTGAAGTCCAGTTATTTCAAGGCATACCTGTCTCTGGATTGTGTCCTATGTCTCCAGCCCTCATGAAGAAGAGGGTCACATCAGCATATTAAAACATTGCTTCCCGTGTGTGTTTATGTCAATGTATACTTAAGTACTCAAGAGAGCCAGTGTGACATGCTGCTCATGGGGAACCTCCAAATGAGGACTAATTTGACCTGCACACACCCTAACATGCCACCTATCATCCAACTGACATCATATGACGTGGGACAGGTAAAAACCATGGCTATTAAGGAACAACTGGGGGTCTTGGAGGGTGCTCCCAAATGTTGATTTGCGAGCACATCTTGCATTTGAATGCATTTAAATTTGGTGCTGAAGGCAAGTGTGCTGGGGTTCAGATCCACCTGACTCATACGATGTCAGGTGATGAACAGACAGGTTTTCCCACCCACCTGTGAAATGTGATCCGTGGAAGGTGAACAAATTTCAGAAATTTCTACATAGAAAACTAGCCTGGTAGGAGAATGGCAACTGTGTGGGGAGGTGGTTCTGAATGCCTCACCTGCACTTCAAAGAAACATAGCTCAATGAAGTTGACTACCTCATTGAGAATATGCCTTGGGTTACAGACACAAAAACCACCTCCTGGCTTGGTCTTTTCACCCCAGGGAAATGAACACATAGCAACTGTTTGCGCATTACGATGAATAAATATCATCCAGCTTTCTAAGTACTCCTGGTTCCCAAGGCTGCTCCTTGAGCTAATTTAATTAAGTGGTCACCTTTGGCAATCTCATCCTAGACGTAAGAAGAATGCCATCCTTACTGTAGAACTTTTTCCTTTTTTTAAAAGCACTTTGAAATCTCATTTATTTCAACCAAAGGATTATGTATTTGCATACGCCTCTCCCATTGCAATACACGGAAATTAAAAGGGATCTGGGTCCCAGTGGCATATTTTGCCATACTGATTACCTGAAATCCAAGCTTCCTTTTAGATGCCTAGGAAGATCTGCCTGGAGAAGACTGCACCAAAGACAGAGGCTGAGATAAGGGGAGCGCAACGTACAGTGAGATGAGATACACCACAGCTTTAACATCCTGCTCTAGGTCTCCAACCAGATGTCCCTTTTCTCCCCTCCCACCCCGATCATAAATTATCCCAAAGAAACCACTCTAAATAATAAATTAAATATTACTTATAAAAAATTGTACCCTTCTTCCCTCCCTCCCCTCCCCATCCCAAACATGATGACAATTCACAAAGGTAAGAATTGCCAGGTCTATTTTACAATAATAAAAACAGCATTGTTCCTTCTACCTACCAGCATTGTTCCCTCACTCTTCGTCAAAAGACATTTACAGCATAGCAGTGAGATGTCACTGGCCTGGGTGACTTCATAGCATGTTATTTTTACCATGTTGTTATTACTGGTCTCAAGGAGAAAACCAAAGGAGGAGGAGCGGGGGGGATGATTGAACATTTGCAAAATGTCTGCTAACATAGCTAACAAGGAAGATACATAACCTCAGAGTATTATTATCATTTTTTGAATCAGAGAAGGCATAGAATTGGCTAATAGGGGTGAGCAAAGAGTCGTTACGAAGATTAGTCTTTTCTAATCACATCTTAAAAGACACAAGTTAGAATGGGAGGTGGAATTTTTTTTTTTGAAGACACTCAAATTTGCAAAGATATGACAAAAGACTGATCGTTTAAAATGCACATGGGAAGTCACTGCAATAGTTCTCCAGACTGGTGTAAACTCATTTGTCATCTCTCTTTCAAGCACCAGATACTCATTCATACAGGGCTTGCTCCCTTCTCTAGTCATGCACTAGAATTCAAGTAGCATCCACAGCAATTCCCATATACAACAAAGCACGGAAAACTGTGCCTTCACCAATATACACCCTCAGCAGGGTATTTTTAAAGAGAATTCAGAACAGCATTCCCTTTTCTTCGTTGATTCAGAGTTATCACTATGCTTATGGTCAGAAATATCCCTCCACTCCTTTCTTTCCATAATTTTAGGGGGAATGGATTTGGGCGATCAGATCTGAGGACTTGCAGTTAAGATGGCACATTAATAAAAACCAATGATATCAAATGGAAAGTTTAAATGGGAATGCGTTTATTGGAGCACAGTGTGCAATATGGCAGGCACCACTCTGCTGAGCAATAGCCATGCCACAGTGAGTCGGTGTTGCTGTTATAGATGTGAATGGCGTAGACAAATTGGAGAGGAAATAGGCAAGGTTGAGAAGAACAAGATGCTGAGTGCTCTGCAACCCTAAAAACACGGGACCTTGTGAGGAGCCAACAACTGCCAGGGCTTCCCTTTGTGTTCTGTCAGGGATTGGAATACACATTGGAGCCAATGAATTATGGCCACTACTTGGAATGAGCTGATCATAGGAGGAGGAAATTGTTTGCTGGAACCTGGGAGTAGAGGGAACGAGAAGGTTAAGAAAGATTTTGGGCTCAGCTCGTAATAAGCTCAGGGTTTATGAGATGGGGTTGTTTCTAAATCTCACCTATTCTGAACTTCAGCTCCACAGTCATTTTTGCTGCATTAGATTAACAATGCTAGTGCAGTAATTTAGTGCGTTCCTGTTTATTAGTGTGATGGGAGAATAATCTGAGTAGTAACAAAGTAACATCCCTCAGTGTAAATATACTCTGGATGGGAACAGAAAACTGAATGCACAATTACAT